ACACAGCCAGTTTGTTCATATTCTTCATTGCGCATCATTCCATGCGTAACATGCTGTCCCCCGCGTCGACGAGGAGGAGGAGGAAGAGGAGGAGGGTGAATATCACGACGCAAGGCTTTTGAACGGGTCCCGCCTCCCTCGCTGGGCCCCAGGACCGTGCCGAAGCAGGTGGGGGGGTTGGATGCGAACCTTGTCTTTGGGGTTATGTTAGTCTAACTTACTTTAGCCTTGATCACCGGAAAGAGTTTCGAGCACCAAAAAAGTACCGAAACTGGAGGGTTTTCACGTGTCGGGCCCTGGGAAACACTCGTCCGACACTGTTTCGACACTCTTCGACACTTTTCCGGGGGCTCGAAATTATTTCTGGGATGTGGTCCTTAAGTACGATGGAAACAACGTAACTCTGGGGCCGTAGGTGGAATTCCCTGCGGGGCACGATCCGTGTGAGAGGTGTGGCCAAGTGTGCGGGGTGACGCTATGCGAAGTTTCCCTCTGGTGTCGTAAGTGTCATTGCGCCAACATCGTGGAGCGGATTTCGTTCGCAGACCGATCGCATGGGCTCGGAGTGTCCTGGAGAATTTCGTTCCGGATTTCGAGTTGAATTTCGTGCGGAATTTGTTGGGCCAGGAATGAAGACTAGCAACATTCAACGCGAAACTCACTTAATTTTTAACTCGCCGTTTCGGGGTTTTGCAGTGGCAGAAATCCGCGCAAACATTCGCTGCAGCACGTCTGCAAGGCTGGTGCAGTGATAAGTGTAGTTACCTGCGGAGCACGATCTGCGTGAGGGGTGTGCCGCTATGCGAACCGTGTCTCTGAGGCCGTAGGTGGAGCTCCCTGTGGGGCACGACCTCTGTGAGGGGTGTGCCGAGATGGTCGGGGGGATGCTGTGCGAACCCCGTCTCTGTGGCCGTAGGCGGAGCTCCCTGAGGGGCACGATCCGCGCGAAGGATGTGAGGCAATAGGCGGGGGGGACGCTATTGATGTATGTATGCCTGCGATTGCGCAGGTGTTCTCATATGGTGGTCATTGTTGGATGATGTGTGCGCCCATCCGCTGATTGATATGATGCTGGCTTTGCCTGGGCTAGAACCTGAGCGCGCGCGAAGCGCGCGCGTGGTCCTAGTCTTCCCAAATATGGCAAACCCTCGTACGTTTCCCCCCATCAGGGTAGGTTCGCGTCGTGTCTACTGGCGGCGACCCCGCCGCTGTTGTTCAACGTTGAACGCTGCCGTCGACCCAGACTCGGTCGATGTTGAACGGTCTGACGTTTCGGAAACGGCCGACCTTCCAAGGTCGACCGATGCCGGGGTCGACGCGACGCGAACTTGCCGTACCCCTTCTGGAAGCGTTCCTCCTGCCCGCGTCGCTTCCTCCCCCTTCTCCTCAGGGGCGGCGTCAGGGGGGGGGGGACAGGCTCAGGGGGGTAAGGGGATAGGGGCCTCATGGCGGACAGGGGCCTCATCGCCCACCCCGCCCAGGATCGTGCAGTTTCGCCATCAGGGGCCTGTCGCTGGTGAATCGGCGGTGCCTCGCCGATTCCAGGTCGATGCTTCCCCCCCTGAGCTGGTCTCCCCAGCGATCCTCGTCGCATGGCCTTCGGAGCATGGCCTGGGTCGCGGGCGGCCGCTCGGGAGGATCTGGGAGCCCCTGGAACGCACTTGGCGAGACGTGGCTGCCGCAGGGCATCCGGAGGCTGGAGCTCTGCCGAGAGCCCACGAAGCGTTGGAGCACCTCAAGCCTCGAGCCTCGCGGCCTCGCGCCAGTTCCCAAGCCTCGAGCCTCGCAACCTCGAGCCTCGCAACCTCGAGCCTCGCAACCTCGAGCCTCGAGCCTCGAGCCTCGAGCCTCGAGCCTCGTTGCCCCTCCTCCGTCCTTGCTCCCCCCCGTCCTCGGCGAGCTGCTCGCCGCCGGGCCGTCGCCGCAGTCGGAGAGCGCGCAGGCCGAGTTCTGCGACCGCCTGGTGGATGCGGCGCAGCCCCCGCCCTGCAGCGTTTTTTGTTTGTTTGTTTGTTGTTGTTGCTGCTGTTGTTTCTGCTGCTGTTGTAGTTGTATTTGTTGTTGTTGTTGTTGAACATTATTAATTCTAAAGAATAATTATTGTTGGGCCCCCTGGTGCGCGCCCCCCCCGCCGCGCCTAGGCCGCAGCCACGTTTTCATCATTTTCGTGAGGAAGCCTCAGGTAATTCGAGGTGATCAAGATCCGGTTGTTTTGTTGTAATCCGTTTTCCCTTGCAAAAAACACTATAAAATGACATTTCTTGTTCTAATATAATCAAATTTCAAGAATCCCTTGCAAAAAATAAGGTAAAGTGGACATTCGCGCGCGCAAGACGAAATCCTTCCAAAAGCTTAGTGTTCGGAGCGATTTTAACATAAAAACATCAAAAAACCAATGGTTTTTCAACAAAAAAATGTCAAAATCTCATCCCGCGCGCTCTTGCGGATTCGTAGGAAACCCAACACTTTTTAAACATTTCTGTCAAACGGGCTTTTGCGAGCAACTTTTTCGAACTTCTGCGACAACGGTTGCGCACCTGCCAGGGCCATCATCCCTGTCAAATAATACCATGCGGGACACATTCGTTTTTTCTTCGCGCGCGCACGCCGAAATCTCCAAAAACCATTGGGCTTCTTAAGAATTTTAGCACCGCGCATCATAAAATCACACGAATCGCACCGTGGGTTAACAACTTCTGTGGGTTAACAAGGCTTAACAACTTCTGTGGGTGTACGAACGTAGGCTTAACAACTTCTGTGGGTGTGTACTCCACGCCAGTGTAGTAGCCACGGTCGTCCGCAGGCCACGAAGTGAAGTGTCCGAACGTCATAGGGCGGGAAGCTGGGTGTGGGTGGTGGCGAAGAGTCGTGTGGATATTTGGTAGAGCTTGCACTGCCCCCCCACAAAGTGGGGGTATTGGCTGGCGTCGCATGAAAACCCTGGCACTGGTGAGAACACTGAGCGTTCGGGTAAAGTGATTGTTGTTGTTGTTGTTGTTGTTGTTGTTGTTGTTGTTGTTGTTGTTGTTGTTGAACATTATTAATTCTAAAGAATAATTATTGTTGGGGCCCCTGGTGCACGGCCCCCCTGCGCCGCCTAGGCCGCAGCTACATTTTCATCATTTTCGTGAGGAAGCCTCAGGTAATTCGATGTGATCAAGATCCGGTTGTTTTGTTCCCCCCCGCTTTCCCTTGCAAAAAACACTATAAAATGACATTTCTTGTTCTAATATAATCAAATTTCAAGAATCCCTTGCAAAAAATAAGGTAAAGTGGACATTCGCGCGCGCAAGACGAAATCCTTCCAAAAGCTTAGTGTTCGCAGCGATTTTAACATAAAAACATCAAAAAACCAATGGTTTTTCAACAAAAAATTGTCAAAATCTCATCCCGCGCGCTCTTGCGGATTCGTAGGAAACCCAACACTTTTTAAACATTTCTGTCAAACGGGCTTTTGCGAGCAACTTTTTCGAACTTCTGCGACAACGGTTGCGCACCTGCCAGGGCCATCATCCCTGTCAAATAATACCATGCGGGACACATTCGTTTTTTCTTCGCGCGCGCACGCCGAAATCTCCAAAAACCATTGGGCTTCTTAAGAATTTTAGCACCGCGCATCATAAAATCACACGAATCGCACCGTAGGTCCTCGAAAAACACCTGCACGACTTTTCAAAATTTCTACCCGCGCGCGCTGTCCTAACAACTTCTGTGGGTGTGTACTCCACGCCAGTGTAGTAGCCACGGTCGTCCGCAGGCCACGAAGTGAAGTGTCCGAACGTCATAGGGCGGGAAGCTGGGTGTGGGTGGTGGCGAAGAGTCGTGTGGATATTTGGTAGAGCTTGCACTGCCCCCCCACAAAGTGGGGGTATTGGCTGGCGTCGCATGAAAACCCTGGCACTGGTGAGAACACTGAGCGTTCGGGTAAAGTGATTGTTGTTGTTGTTGTTGTTGTTGTTGTTGTTGTTGTGGTTGTTGTGGTTGTTGTTGTTGTTGCTGTTGCTGTTGCTGTTGCTGTTGCTGTTGCTGCTGCTGTTGTCGTTGTCGTTGTCGATATTGTTGTTTTTGGTGTTGTGGTTGTTGTTGTGGTTGTTGTTTTTGTTGCTGCTGTTGCTGCTGCTGTTGTTGTCGTTGTTGTTGTTATTGTTGTTGTTGTTATTGTTGTTGTTGTTGTGGTTATGGTTGTTGTTGTTGTTGTTGTTGTTGTTGTTGTTGTTGTTGTTGTTGTTGTTGTTGTTGTTGTTGTTGTTGTTGTTGTTGTTGTTGTTGTTGCTGCTGCTGCTGCTGTTGTTGTTGTTGTTGTTGTTGTTGCTGTTGTTGTTGTTGTTGATGTTGTTGCTGCTGCTGTTATGGTTGTGGTTGTTGTGGTTGTTGTTTTTGTTATGGCGATGTGTTGTTATTGTGCTTGTTGTTTTTTTGTATTGCTGCTGCTGCTGCTGCTTAATTCATTTCGAAAGAACATATGGTGTGGATCCCCCTCCCGGTAACCATTGTTTTTTGATTGCAGTTGCTTCAGTTAGAGTGCTTCACCCGGTGCTTGCACCCTGTTCCTTACAAGGGAAAGCGAGGTGTCACCAAACTGTGCTGCTGGGCCCTAGTTTACAACAACAGCGGCTCCCGCTGGATGCCTGCTCGCTGTTAAGATGTTCCAACCTACTTTAGCCTTGGCCACCGGAAAGAATTTCGAGCACCAGGACAGTACAGAAGCTCGAGGCTCGTCCGACACGGTTTCGACACTGTCCGGGCGGCATTTTCAGGGAATCCCGAGGAATCCTGCGAGGAACCCCCGAGGAACCCCCGAGGAACCCCCGAGGACCCCCGAGGCATCCCGCGGGGGGACGCCGCGGGCGCGCCGCCGCCGAGGGAGAGGCGCGCATCCGCCCTCCCTTCGCCGCGGGGCGGGCTCGAGAGCCGCCTCGCTGCGGCAGCCCCGCCGCGGCCGCGCCGCAGCTGCCGCCGCGCCTGAGTCGCGCGCGCGGCCTCGGCCGAGCGCGCGGGGGGGGGGGGGGGGCGCCGCCATCGCGCCGCCGTGACCGTCAGGCCGGACCAGCCCGCCCCCCCCCGCTGGGCCCCGCAGGCCGCCGCGCGCTCCTGCTGCTGCTCCTCCTCCTCCTCCTCGTCCTCCTGCTCCTGCTACTCATCCTCCTCCTGCTCCTCCTCCTGCTCCTCCTCCTTCGGCTCGCCTGCTCGCTCCCTCCTCCTCCTCCTCGTCGTCCTCCTCCTCCTCCTCTTCCTCAATCTCGTCTAGGCTGTGCGCTGGACAGAAGCGAAGAGTGCTTGCTGTGAGCTCCTGTCGGAGCGTTCCTCGCTCCTTCGCATGGGTCGGCGTGGTCGCGCGCCGTGGGCCAAAGGCTGTGGCAAGCAGTGGCCGCAGGGGCAGAGGCGGACTGGGCGCAGCCGTAGAACCTACTGCTCGAACCCCAAGTGCGGCCAGTGGGAGTCTGATCGCTTCGGTAGCTAGGCCTGCAGCGTCTGTGGCAGCAACTACCGCGCACAAGATGCCGCTGCCCAAGCTGATGCTGAGGAGCCTGGTGATGCTGCTGTTCGTGATGCTGCTGTTCCTCCCCAATTCGTGGCTGAGATGTAGTCTCTCGCCACGAAGTGCCCCGCGATGGTGGCGGCCTTTGGGCAGATCCAGTCGCTCCTGCTGCCACCGCTGAGCGACGTGCGCCCGGTTCGGACAATGACATCGAGAAACATGTCATGGCGCACCGCACAGAGCATTCGCGGGTCGTGGAGAAGGCTAGCAGGAAGGAGCGCGTCGCCAAGTCGGGGGTGCAGCAGCGACACGATGCGGTCCTTCGTCATGGTGAGCCTATGGCCAAGGGCCGAGCAGGCGCACGTGGAGGCGCACCAGCTGCATGTGGAGGTCGCTGATGCGCTGCGCCTGGCCTGCGCCGAGAAGGACGAGTTCGACGAGGCCAAGTTTCGCAAGCAGCTCCGTGACGAGGAGCGGGAGGGGGCCGAGGCAGCTGCGCGCGGGGCGCGGGCGGCCCAGCCTGCGGCGGCCAGCGCCCCGCCGCAGGCGTGCCGGCAGTGCCTGCTTGCCCCGCTGGGGCTGCGCCCGCGCCCGCGCCAGCTCGGGCCCCCGCTGTGCGGGCCCACCTCCTTGACCAGTGCCTGGTGTGACTGAGAGGGGCGGTGCTGACTTTCATTGGGTGCTTTCGAGCTGAGCTTGCGCGCTCTCATTGTCGGTCGCGCCCCGCGCCCGAGCAGTGGATCGAGGTGCGCCGCGTCGCCGTCCAGCAGCGCTTGCCGGGGTCAGCCTTGAGATGGGCTCCGCGGCGGCCAGCGGTGCTGGTGATCCCGATCTGCCTGATGGCGAGCGCGGTGGGCTGCGCGAGCTGCGCAGGCGTGCGGTCGAGACAGGTTGGGGCCAGCAAGCCGCGGAGCGGTATGGAGTGCTGCTCTCGCGTGCAGCGCTGGCCCGAGCCGCTAAGCGTGCAGAAAGAGTGGTTCGGGAGCAGACGCACCGCACCTTCGCTGCGTTCTGTCTGGCGGCGGCCTCCGAGCTTCAAGCCCAGCGGCAAGCTGCGGGGAGTGGGGCTCCACCGCAGCCAGTTAAGCCCAGCTTATGATGTTCCAGCTTTACTTTAGCCTTGACCGCCAGAAAGAGCTTCGAGCACCAGGAACAAGTACCGAAGCGCGAGGGTTTTCACGTGTCGGGCCCTGGGAGACACTCGTCCGACACTTTTTCGACACTCTTTCTACACTCTTCCAGGTGCTCGAAGTTATTTCTGGGATGTGGTCCTTAAGTACGATGGGAACAACATACATCCCAGCTTTTGAGCGCCCGCAGAGGATCGGGCTTGGAGGTCAGACTTTGCAATGTCACGAGCGGGTCGGATCTCGCCAAAGGTCACCTCCCCAGTAAAGTCTCAGCCATGGGCGCCATGTGGATTGCTGAGCACCGCCTTCGGCAAGAAGGTGCACACAAGGCCAATAATAAGGCAGGGGTGGTAGGCTGGAATCTCCACTTCCAGACTGCTCTCGACTCCCCGGGTGGGGGCGCTCACGAAGGGGGGAGTCGCCGCTTTGTGTCAGAGCAGTTTGTGGTGCCAGCGCTTCCTCTGTGGCGCTTCAGAAGTTGTTGACATGGGCTCGGGGGCCTGCTGGCTCTTCCTGGAGTTCAGGCTGCGTGGGATCTCGGTTGCGATCTGGGTCGTCTCTCTGGTGTGCTCCATCGGGGCGACGGTCCAGAACTTGGTTCGACTGCGTCAGATTGTTCAGTGTACCAACGCCCTGAAATCGGCGTCACCCCAACATACTTATACTATATGGGCGTCGCCCCCCCAGGGGCGACGCGCGCACCGAGAAATCTTACATCATGTGCGTCGTGGCGGGCGCTTTCTGACCACATCGTTCGGGAAAAGATATACTACAAGATGGGTATACTATATGTTCGGGTCGGACGCGCGCCTCCAAGGAGGACTTATAGTATTAGTATGTCTCTGTGTGTCCCATGGGTGTTTCTCGGGGGTAGTTGGGCGATTTGAGCATGAGTTCAGATCTTCGGGCTGTAAGCGTGGGTTGGCATGCGCGCCTCGGCTCCCTGCGAAGAGAAGCGCCGCCTCGGGGCGTCCCCTGCAGCGGTCCAACAGCGGAACAGGTGCCAACTGTTTTCGCGGCCCGCGTGGAAGAAGGCTAGGAGGAGGAGGAGGACCAGTGTAAACCCCAGAGTCACCAACGATGTTGGAGTAAACCGTCCTCCCAAGCTCCCTCTTCATAGGCCCCTAAAACGGTTGATATCCACAGAGAGACACGCCTCATTGGAAGACAACCGTTTGAAGACCATGAAGCATGCCAAACCATTACTCTCGGTATTCACGGATTAACCTGACTGCTGCGTCTTGACGATCCTGAATCGTGCCAGAACGCCATTCTTGGGACCTCAATTCCACGAATCATCGTAACTGTTGCGCCCTCAAAATCGTGAATCCTTCCAAAGCACCATTTCTGGTACTTCGATCATGGGAACCCGTGACACTCTTGCAATTTTGTACCACGAACGTGCGCGGCGCTATGGCGGAGCCACATTCCGACAGGAACCGCCTTCAATCCGTGAAGCTATTGCAGTTTTTTTTTAAACGAATGTGCGGGGCGCTCAGGCGAGGGCCACATTTTGAAAACGACCCGCACTCAATCCGTGAAGCTCTTGCCGTCGTTTACAAAGAATGTGCGCGGCGCTCAGGCGAGAGCAACATTTTGAAAACGACCCGCCCTCCATCTGTGAAACCCTTGCACGTGTTTAAAGCAAATGCGCGCGGCGATAAGGCGAGAACGACATTTTGAAAACCACCCGCCCTCAATCCGTGGAATTCTTGCAATTTTAACACGAATGTGCGCGGCGCTGAGGCGAGAGACACATTTTGGACACACCCGCTTTCAATCAGTGAAACCTTTGCAAATTCTAGACACAAATGTGCGCGGCGCTCAGGCGAAAGCCACATTTTGAAAACGACCCGCCCTCAATCTGTGACATTGTTGCAAACGTTTAACCTTCAGTGTCATGAGCGGTGAGGAAGTCCGTTATTGACAGGTCAATTGAGGACAATTGCACTCCTAATGCATGGTTGGTGGGTGGCTTGTCTCATTGTGTATCCACCTTGCCCCATCATATATTCTTGCATCCTGCTCCCTGCGCTCCTATGCCAGATTGTTGTTCGATGCAGCCACGCGGATCGAACTCGATACTCTTTGTTTTTTTCCCATTTCACCTTAACGTACCTCCCATTCTTCTCTTACGTCGTTTGCCTGCGCGGCTTGCTTCCCTCACGATCGATGGCATTGTTTCCGCCAGAGGCCACTGCAATGTCTTGGACAATGGTTTCGGACGTTGTCCAATATGTACGTCTGTCTGGCAGTGTGTTTCGTGTTGTCGAGGCGCAGCTGGGGGATTTCCAGAATCACATCCCGCTGATGTCGATAATCCCCGCTCCGATGCTGCACGTAGCAATCATGACCACACAGATTGACAATAACCTTGGACAGGGAGAGCCGTCCTTACGTGGCCTCACCCCCTTGGAAGCAAGCCAGGTGGGCCTCATCTGGCGCATTTGCAAACGCATTTCGTGGACAGCCGGCGGACAGAGATGGGACGACTTCGTGGACGTGGATCCGTTCCAAGCGCCTGCGGCGCGTCCGGCTGCGGCCGGGTCTGGGGCAGCGCCGGCGGCGGCCCCGGCGACCAGGGACAAGGTCGTCAAGTTGTCCGCTGTCCTCGACCAGGGCGACGATGGCGAGGTGCGGGTCGCCGATGCGTCTACGCACGCCCAGTGGCACGCCAACTACCAGCAGCAGGTCCTCGCCGCTCCGGCGGAGGACGCGGAGCCTTCGGTGGAGCAGCTCACGGCCTTGGACCACAGGGTGAACGACCGCGGCTGCTCGCCGTATGCTGACTTCGCGCTGTGGGGGCCGTTCGCCCGCAAGGGCGTGCGGGCCGCGAAGTTCCGCGCCTGGTACCCGACCGGCGACGGCACCTTCACGGCCAAGGAGCTCCCCGGCCCGGGGAACCTGCAGCACTGGGAAGCGGCATGGAAGGTGTTCGCCACTGCTTGCATCATGCTCATGGCTGTGGCCCGCTCTGCGCTCGAGCACTACGCGGAGAAGATCCGCAAGCTCGTGCACCTATGGCCGGAATGTTGGCATCTCATTGCCACGGCGGACGAACAGATGCGCGCAGAGCACATGGTCCGCCTGAAGCGCCGCTACGAGGCCAAACTGGCGGCCGGCGAGACGCCCGCTCCAGACTGGAACAGCGCAGCGCCCTGGTCCACTGTGTACCGCCTCGCGGCCGACGACGAGGCATTCTGGGATGGTCACGTGCGGCGCCCGGCGGCTGCGTGGGTGGCGCGCGGCGGTCGCGGCGTGCTGCTCGCGCCTGAGGAGGCGGTGGCCTTGGCCCACCTGCCCGGTGGCCTCGCGGCCATCACGCCACCGACAGAGCAGCGCCCCCCCGCGACGGGCAAGCGGCGCAAGACCGGCCCGCGGCAGCATCAGCAGCAGCGCCCCCAGCAGGCGTCGGGAAACGGGGGCCCCCCGTCGACTGCCCACGGCAGCTCGGCGGGGGGGCCGCGC